TTTTTCGTATAGTTAGGGCAATGATTAAAATGCCTTTTACAAAACAGTACTCTATTTTCGTTGCTTATTTCTTCCATTGCCTTATCATTTTTTCTTCTTGACATATCCTAATTTCTGTTTCTTCACTTCCATCCTTGCTTTCACATCTTTTCTTCCCGACTTTTAGTCCTTTCCGTTTTCTGTATCATCTTCGTTTTATTTTTTTTCCTACTTTTCAACTTAATTGGCTTGTGCTTTTGGTTCTCATTTTAAGTCGCTTCTCTTTTTCGTTTTTTGTCTCCATATCTTTTCTCCACTGCTATGTGTCCAGTCACAGTTCACTCACCTTGACGTAATTGGACATCACCTTGACATTTATCAATGTATAATAGCTCTCGTGCGAGTAGAAAACTTTGTGAAACTCTGTTTTCAGGTTCTCAAGACACTGCGATACATTAATAAGGACCAGATTCTGAAGTTGAAAGGGCGCGTAGCTCGTGGAATCAGCAACAATGAATTAATGATAACAGAACTGGTGTTTGATAATCAGTTGACTCACCACAAGCCAACTGAAATCGTCGCTCTGCTATCTTGCTTTGTTTGTGAAGTGGTATGTTGTTGTTTTTCTTTGTATCAATTTTATGTCTTGTTCCACGTCATTTTATCAGTCCAGCTAGAGTGAGACAATTTTTTCTCCTGCTTTCCATGATATGTACTTAGAAGCATTCATATGGTCTCATATGTGACCGTACTATTGAGATTTCACTATGTGTTCTTTCCAAATGCCCATAATTTCCCCTTTAAGTATCTGGTAGATTTACCGCCTCTCATTGACCCTCTTGTATTCTTAGAAAAAGTCCAGTGAACCAGAACTGACAGAAACCCTAAAAGAGGTACGTATAGTAACCTTGATTATCCTCAACGTATCGTATCGTAGTCTTCAATGGTACTAACTCCTACTCTTGTCCCCATCAGAACCATCATCATAAAATACACTTAACAAGACTAAGGTTGATACAAATGCCCAATGCGATTCAAAACATTTTTCAAAACATGATTTAATTTACTTGGGGATGTGCTTTGTTTTTCTCGAGGAAAGTACCTGAGTTGACTTTTTTACCTACATGCTTTAGTAAAACGTTCCATTTTGGTATACCGTGCAAATTTTCACAAATTCAAATACCGTGCAAATTTTGATGCAGTTTTTGCATGAGTATTCCATAGACCTGCATATGCGTTTATTTCAAAGTCACATGGTAATTAAAATTTTGTGAATGAATTTCATCTGATAATATGTTCTCCGTAATTCGAAATTTTCCCATTTCAAATATTTTAGCAAATGAGTAGCACTAGATCATCGGCGGTAGTATCTTTTAGGAAAAATGACCTACGAAAACCGTTAAAAGGAGTTGGTTCCTCGGACTTGCCTCAAGTCATATGCTGTTTGAATTCGATAACTTAATAATCAAGTTTTCCAAATCACGCTGCAGCTCTGGTTTTTTTTGCCTACTGGTGTGCTCTAGTGATTTTATTTGCTACCTCCGTGTCTCAAATCCGCTTTATATCTTCTGCTATAAGAACACATTGATTTTAGGGTGTGCAAGTGATCAAGAAATGTGCAAAGGCTCTTGCTCAGATCCAAAAGGACTGTGGGATGTCCTTAACAGAGGAAGAATATGTAGAGTCGTTTCGCTTTGGATTGGTGCAAGTTGTTTATGAATGGGCAAGGGGGATACCCTTCAAAGAGATAACAGAACTCACTGATATTCCCGAAGGTCTGTAATACTCATTTTTGATTCTTTTAAAAGCCTTTCACACATGTGTAAATGCCGCCTTCTGATTTTTCTCTTAGTAAATAAGCTGTATCTTTTTAAACTATAACTTTTTAATCATAGGCGTTGGAGGGATAGGTGCTTTGAGGGCTGCAGTCCCTCCTAACAAAACAAACTTTTTCGAATATAAGGCTCCGTTCGAACATTTCTATCTCCATGTAGCAATATTATTCGGTGAGGGATCCATACTAAGCCTCCTAAACGTTTAGCATACGCCCATGTTTGACATTTTATTTCATTGCTAACTCTGATTGTCTTTTAGGTATAATTGTTCGCTGTATCCAACGACTTGATGAGATCTGTCGTGACGTTAAGGCTGCAGCACGTATAATCGGTGATCCGGTGTTGGTAGACAAGATGGAACAGGGCTCAAGTCTTATCAAAAGAGACATTGTATTTACTGGAAGTCTTTATACTAGTTGATTTTTAAATGCCTAGGATTTCTTAAACTGAATTGTAGCTAGATATGAATATATTCACGAAATCGTTATTTTGAAGATAAGCCTCGAAATCTTAAAATATTCTGGACGGGCGTTTATGTGATAATCTATTTATTTTCTCATCTTGGTTTTTTGAAAAAAACACATCCTGGTCAATGGCTTTGCTATGGGGGTATGGGGTTAAGAACGCTGTCTCATAAATGGATAATAGGATAGTTAAAGTACTCTTCTAAATCTGATGGCAGACATGCGGGAAGAAACCCCCTTTTTTCAAAACATTTTTGTGTAGTAGTAGCAAAATTATCAGTCTCTATGAATGCGACACCTTTTGGTTTTTATAGGCGTGGCACACAAACATTTTACCTCAAGGTAGCAACTGGAAGCCATTTTTGTAATTTGTTGAAACTTCAATCTATTGCATTCATGCCTTTTCTACATAGCTAAAAAAACTGATGCCATACTTCATATTTAACTCCATAGTACTTGATTAAGATAGCTCTTATTTTCACTTCCTTTGTATCGATGTGTTGATTTTATAAAGAGTCACATGTCCTTGGCAAATCAAAAAGGAAAGTGGATGAAAAAGTTTAGTTAGTATTTCGCCCGAAAGGTCAATTTTTTAATGTTTAAGTCTAAAAAAATTGTGAGTATTTTGACGGAAGGTTTCCTCCTCAGATGCAGTCAGTATTCACGTACAGACAGGTTTTTCAGCTCTTAATCTATATGTTTGGAGAGGGATCTGCATGGAAACAACATTAATAGACGTTTAAAAAAATGTGTTGCAATGGAAATTCTTCAACCTCTACTCAAGGAGCTTTTCTCATTCTCAAAACTGCATGGCCATCTTGAGTATCGTAAAATTAATCTCGGATAAGGACTTTTGAGCAGCTTGTCGGGGAAAATGCGTCCATTAGCAGCCTTGATAAAAACATACAAATGTGGACTAAAGTCTTGGCAGATAGTCCTCTAGATATTTTGTTACCAAGAGTTTCGTATTTAATTGAATTATCTTTGAAATTGTTTGTTTCTATTGGAAGCAGATTGCTTGATTTCTGAATGTTTATTGCATAGTTGTTGAGGAAGGGTCAATCCTATTCCTGTAAGAAAATAGTTTAAGTTAATCTCGTGTCGTTCCCAAAAACCGAATTTAATTCGGTGAATAGTCTTGCGACTCTAAATCCTGTTACAAAAACTGGACGTAGAGTTTTACCATCTGGATCATGTTCTCTTGATTGAGAGATTATACTACCAGTTACAGGAATAAAGATCAAGTGCCAGGACTGCCTGGTTCATTGAATTTGTATGTAGTGTGCGACACAATGAACAAGGTGAAAATGTTGCTTTTGAGCCTCGCTCTCGTCTGTTGTTGTAACGATGGAGAAGGAAGATGGCTGCGGAACACGTGGAACAACAAATCTCTAAATCGTGACACTGCACAACGTTACTGTAAGGTAGGGTCGATAAAATTTATTAGATTCTTCACATTAATACCTTAACATTAATGTTTATACATTCTGAAGTTTCTGTGAAGGAGACAGGTGGTGTTGCAGTGAAGTTGTTCCATCCATCATCAATTGATCACCACATTTTATTTTCATCATATCATTGTGTTTTATAGCAACTTCATAACATCTAACTGCTCTCTATTCACCCACCCGTTCTTGCTAACATTATTTGCTCTATTCTGACTAATAGTTTTTGTTGACAAACATTAGATTACAGAAATTTAAATATTTTACAGAAACTTTCTGTAAATTATTCTTCTTCTCTTCTTCTTCTTCTTACTTTTCTTCTTCTTTCTTTAAAATTTCTAAGCATTGGTAATGTATTTCTTCCAAATACATCCTCTCCTTTTTTTATTGACATGCATCTAGAATGAGGCCAGTGAATATCCATCCATCATTTTCTATCATTTTCTCCTTTCTTGTTTACCCTTTACTTAGAGGTTGAATTCTTGCTCCTTGTTTTATGCACTGTTTGAGGGAAGTGGGGTAATATTTTCAGCACACTTAACAATTTCTTTAAAGATTCAAGTAAAAAATTAACTTTCATAGTGAACATCTGTCACAGTGTAGCAAGTGAACGTACGGATTTAAGGATTTGAATTTGGATAACAAGATTGGATGGTTCACTGTATCAAAAGCCTTTCTTAGGTCTAGATAAAGAGCACCAGTATCATTATTCATGTCAGTGTAAATTGTATCTATCATGTGTAAGAGGGCAGACGTAGTTGAGTGGAGGTAATTACTCATTAAACAATTAAACATTTTTCTTATGCTCAGTTACTTTTTTGGGCTTTCTATTCAATCTTTTTCTAAGTGTTGGTAACATTTTTCTTCACATCCTTTTCCTGATTAATTAGAATCTGCTGTCCAATTCTGCCTTCATCATTGTTTGTGGTCTCCTGTGACTTCAGCTGTCAGACCAAGTTGTCCTTGTTGTCCTCCTGGTTGTTATTCGTCCATCTAGAATTGGGTCTTCATCATACTGCATTTTCTCTTCAAGTTGACAATTTTTTGCTGGCTCTTCTGTCTCTGCCTTCTGTAAGTATCCAGATTATTATAATCTGGTGTCTTTCATATTTCTCAAATGTTACAGATTTTTCAGAGTTTTCAGAGTACACCACCATTTCTTCAAGAAATCTCTCAATAATACTCCCATAATACACTTGAGCATTCTCATTTTCGTCTTTTCCAGCATCTTTTCAATCCCCTTTATCAATGTATGGGTTTTTTAAACCACGCAAAATACTGAGATAAAGCTTCACAGTAAGCTTCTTGGTCATTAAGTTGTTGTTTATAATGCTAGACAGTTATCTCCATTTGTTCCCAGTGGTCATCAATGTGGCGCTCACTTTTTCTGCTCCTCAGTCTAAACACAATGTTAAACCAAGGTATTTTAGATTCTGATACTGATATAGACTTTTGTTACCCACCTTCAGCTCTTCTTTCATCATTATTTTGTGTCACTTGTTGCCGTTTATGCTGCAACTCTGCTTCACTCTCTGCCATCAAAACTAGATTGTCTCCCAACAGAAGTTCCCACGACTCTTCTTCCCTCAAATCTTCACTGACCACATCAAACACTATTATGAAAAGAAACAGACTCAATGCTGAACTTTGACACAAATTGAAAATTTATATTAAATTCATCTGTACCTTCATACAATGCTCATAAATTGGTATGTGAATAGTGATACCTTACTTGTACATGCCAACCAGTCTCTCTTTTATTTAGCAGGTAATGTTAGAGCAAGGCTCCTAAAAGCCCTAATAAGAGAAAGGGAGAAGAAATTTTAAAGAAAGCTAGGAAAATCCAAGCATGTTTATTTTTGTTTTGAATAAAGCCAAGCCAGGTTATAAGATTCTGGGAATCAGGAAAAGAGCAGAATATTCCAAAGTTAACAAGATCTAGGGAGGAAGGAATAGTTGTAGGATAGTGTTTGAGAGTTTGGCAAAAGACTGGGGAAAGGGTGAGCACTGAAAGAGTGTCTGGTTTTGCGTATAGCTTTCCGTAGAAGGAGATCTGGGATCATATCTCTGATCTCCTAAGATCAGTATGTTTTCTTCTTCAATTACTCATTGTCATCAATTGTTCATTTATATATTTCTCATTTTCTGAGCCCCCTGTTAAGTATTTTTCTAAGCATTACCAACATTTTCCCTCATCGTATCCTCTCTTTCCTCTCACTTTTTAATGATTTGAATCAATTCTGAGATAAACTATATTCTCACATATGATAATATATATCAACGAATACTTCTCAGGCATTTCTTACAAACTTATTTGCCCCTAAATTTCTTTCTGCGTTTAAATCCATTTTTAGAAGAAAACTGCCTGCTCCTTGTTTTCTATTAACTTTAAAAATAACTTGATTATTCTTTGTATGCACTACAACATTGCTTTACATTTAAAAATATATTTCCCCTTTCTAAGAAGCCAATACTTTCTTGCTAAATGATTAATTGTTTTTGATGTTGGTGGAGATTTCTGGCCAGTCTTTTTTAACCATTAGAAGCATCCTCCTTTGAAATATCTTCCAGTTTTTCTCTTTTATGAAACTATTGGTAACATCTAAGTAAGTAAGGGAACTTCATTTTTCTTTTTGCACACTACTGCATTGCCTAATATTTTAAAAGATATTTTTCTTCTCAAGAAGTAGATACGTTCTTCTCGAGTGATTAATTGTTTTTCCTGTTTGTAGATCTTTTTGACTAGTTTTTTTTTAACAATTAGAAACTTTATGTTTTAAAATATCCTCCTGTTTCTCTCTTTTATTAAATAGTTGCTCACATCAGTCGGTCTAGTCTGGATTTTTTTTTCATTCATCCATTCTACTTTTATTTCTTTCTTTACTTCTGCCTTTTTACCTCTTTTTAGAGAGAGGTCGATTGTGTAATAATTGCTTTAAGTTGTCTTTTGAAGGAACTTGATTTTTCATTTTACCCACTGCTATGTTGCTTTATATTTTAAAAGCTATTTTCCTTCTCAAGAAGTAGATACGTTTTTCTTGAGTGATTAATTGTTTTTCCTATTTGTAGAGCTTTCTGACCAGTCTTTTTTAACGATTAGAAACTTTATGTTTTAAAATATCCTCCTGTTTCTTTCTCCAAATAAATAGCTGCTCACATCCGTCGGTCTAGTCTGGTTTTTTTTGTTCATTCAGCCATTCTACTTTTATTTATTTCTTTACTTCTGCCTTTTTACCTCTTTTTAGAGAGAGTTCGATTATGTAATCATTGCTTTAAGTTGTCTTTTGAAGGAACTTTATTTTTCGTTTTACCCACTGCTATGTTGCTTTATATTTTAAAAGGTATTTTCCTTCCCAAGAAGTAGCTACGTTCTTCTCAAATGATAAATTGTTTTTCCTGTTTGTAGAGCTTTCTGACCAGTCTTTTCTAACGATTAGAAACTTTATGTTTTAAAATATCCCCCTGCTTGTCTCTCCAATTAAATAGCTGCTCACATCCGTCGGTCTAGTCTGGTTTTTTTTGTTCATTCAGCCATTCTACTTTTATTTATTTCTTTACTTCTGCCTTTTTACCTCTTTTTAGAGAGAGTTCGATTATGTAATCATTGCTTTAAGTTGTCTTTTGAAG